TGAAGATAATGTAGAGGAGTAATGAATGGGCCGAGGAGATAATATAGAGGAATAATGAATGGATTGAGAAGACGATATAGAGGAATAATGAATAGGTTGAACAGATGATATAGAGGAATATAGATTTTGTTGAGAAGATGATGTGGATGAATATAAATTTGATTGGAATGATAATACGGTATTTGAAAGAAGTTCTTGATCGATTTTTTGGGATAAAGGTAAAATATCAATTTGTTTTGTAGATAGAGAGGGATCAAGACGGTCTGAACTAATAGCGTTAGAGTTAAAAGGCCAAATTCCCGTAACTCTATAAGCATTAGTAATTGCTTTAGGTGTGTAAGTTTTTATGAATGCTAGACCAAACATTTTGGCAAATGTGTGTTTTGTTACTAATTTGCCACTTTCACTGTGAAGTTTTGTACAATTTTTGCTATATTCGGTTTTAAGTTTGGCGAAGGGGAGCTCGGATGGTTGAAGGATATGTGTGGTATGTGGGCAAAAATTGACGCTTGTATAATTATATAGCTTTTATGACCATCAAATATTAAAAGAACTGGGCGCTTAGAAGGAATAGAATTAATAAGGTGCTCGATATACATCTGAAATAGGTCTTTTCGCATATATTCTGAGTCAGTAAACCTCATAACGGTGCCAGCTGGAGCACCGTTTAGCAAATTGGAAATTGTGCGAATACCCTTGTAAATAATTAAAGATGGTATATAGCTTCCAGCAGCTGAAATCGTCGGGACGACAGAAATATGATCATGGGTGTTTCTGTGTGATACTTTATGGATTTGGTGAGAGCCTTTCATAGCAATGACTTTTTGTATTTTGGGAGATATAACAAACCCTGTTTCATCCATGTTCCAAATTCTATCTGCAGTAAGTGAATCTTTTTGAATTATTTTATGAAGCTTATCAAAATGGTCCTTAACAATAATTGGATTGGCCCTTTGTGCGCATGCCTCTGACAATGCTTGAGATATACGAAAGGACAAATCAGGATGGTCTCTCATAAAACGTTCCTACCAGTCCTGGCCAGGTTCACTATCCTTAAAAGGATGACTACAATTGCTACTTCTTAGAATATTCATCACGCAATAATTTACACCAGATCGTGTGAGACCAAACCCTAATCTTTGCATATTTTTACAATAACCTACTAGTTGTTCTTCTTCATGAGTACTTAAAATCGTTGAAGGTCCAGGACGGTTAGGCAAACCATTTTTAACGGCATGGCTTAAAGTTATTATAGCAACCCCAAATTTTAATGCAGCTGCCCGAATGCTAAGTTTTTCGGGGCTAGCAAGTGCTTTAAGAGCAGATTCAATTGCTTTTAAATGCATATCATGGTTAACTTTTTTAGATTTTGGCTTTGCTATAGAGTGTTTGTTTACTATTTTGGATTTGGCTGTCATTTTGGATTTAGACACAATTTTAGAACTCATTTTACAGTTTGTTATTAATATTGTTTATTAATTTTTTTTATGTTTTACTTGTATATTTATTTTTTCTAATTGTTCAAATTTAAGCCATTTTATATATTTTTTTTATGACCTTACTCACGATTGTTTGAATTACAATTACAATCGTAATTGTCATGATTGTAATTCTTCAGATCAGGGCTAAAACGACACATATTATACATTGATTATTTAATAAGTGTCATTCTTAATTCTTATTAAATTAAAATTTTATTGGTTCACTTTGTCTATTGTTAAACTAAAATATTCATTCTAGTAAATTTGATGTATCAAAAAAGATACTTCAAAGAATAGGCAGCAGCGCAGTAAATAACCGGTGTATACTGTGTCGTTTTAGCCCTGCTTTAGATATGATTCTTGATTACAATCATGATTATGCTTGCAATTATTTATAGTTTGCAAAATTCTGACCCTTGCAGATTATCCAAAAAAAAATCGCTCATTGTTAGATGGTTATTCTGATATCGCGATATAAAAATAAGAATAAAAAAATTTTAATAATTACCTAACATTGTGTGATTTCTTATTTGGATAGTCTGCTGAAGCCACAGAATTTTGCAAATCGTAATAATTACTGATACAATTGTAATTTTATTTATCCGAGTTAGATTATAAGCGTGTTTGTTTATCTACAACTGTATCTAGTTAATAATAGCTAAAAAAAGCCCAGATAATTAGAGAATTAGCACAATAAAAACAAATCAATCGATTTATTTATAGGGCACTTTCAAGCATGAAATACGAACCTTACCTCATTATCTAACCATTGTTATAAAGTGTCTTATTGGATCACTCGTGAGTATTTCATGATCTCTCTCATGAATTGTCATTTAACTCAAATTATTATTTCTCATTGATTTTTTTTTATTTGCATCAATTATTTTATATATGTTCTAGTTCCCGGTTACAATTACCTTCATACGTATACGGCTACTATTTTGAAACAAAGGCTGACTTTCTGATAACTTGGAATTTAATAATGTCATTCAGGCACACAAGACTTAAATGGAGTCAAATGAAACTCATTGGATTTTTATCCATTGAGGTCCATTCAGAGCGAGACACGTATAGGTGTTATTTTGGGATTATGTAACTATTTTTAAGAAGCCAATTTCTAAATAATGCTATGCCCATTATTTCACGGCAATACGATGACTACTATTTAATAGTGTATCACTTATTTTTAATAAAAGAAATTTAAAAATAATTTAACTGTTCATTATTGATTAAAAAAACGCATCAATTAGAATAGTTTTGAAAGTGTATTAACAATTGTATAATCGGCACTATAATGGATATATTCAATGAAAATTTATTTATTGTATAATATTCCTATATAATAGCATCTAATTTTCTTTAAGTCAGTAATTCACATCTTCTCATTTTACCAACATGCCACCTAGACGTAGACGGCCTCGTCCAAATGCAAAAGCCAATGAATATAATTTACATCTTCAAGCTAAAAAAAAATAGGAACTCGCCAAAGTGTATAAAAAGCATAGAAGACAAGTTAGACAACATATGGAGAATAAAAATCAAGAATGTGAATTAGAAAAAATCAAAATGGAAAAAAGAGATCAAACTCCCGAATTGGGATAATGGTATAAATAGTCTTCGTAATTTTATATTGGTAAATTTTTTTTTCTTTTATTAAATTATAATATTGAATATTAACTAGTGTTGTAAAATTTTTTTTAATTAGGCCATTCAAAATTAATTAATGGGCTTTTATAACCGGCCGTATCAAAATTTGAAACCTATATTGAAAATAAGATGTAAAAAGTATAAAACCGATGTCTCTTTCGTGTTGAAATAAAAAACTGAGTTGAGTTTCAACCTTCAAAATTCGAGTAGAAATGTTATTTCTAAGTAGTTTTTCCTTCAATATAAGAATTTCATAATAAATCGTTTGCCACATTATTCTTTCTGAAGTCGTTGCTCATCATAAAAAAGAGAAAGTAAAAGAACCCAATTCTTATTATTTACCTTTATATACTTATTACTTATATTGATAATCCCTGTGATCCATTGTTATCATCATTATCGTCGCAATTACCCGTGACTATACTTGTTGGCAAAAAATTGAAAAAAAAAAAAAAAAATTTTAAAAATTTGTCAATATATTATATATAACTACAAGAATATATATTTGAGATATTAATTTAACCAGAGTTTGAGATTTGGCATGAACAAGTAGTTTGGGATTTCGCCAACAAGTATACCCGTGACCCCATGATACATGACAATTGTTAAGATTCTTAACCTAATATTGGATTCCCGGCGTACAAAAATAAAAAAAAGAAATAATTCATTAGTATTATGTCAGAGTATTAATTATAAGAATACTGAGTAGAATAAGTAGGGCTACTTATCCCAGCATCCAGTTGTGCTGCAGCAAGACCTGAAAATCTTGAATCTCTGACCAAGTCTCTCCACGCCTTTTTTTAGCCTTCCATTTCAACGTTTAGGAATCTCGGGCGATTGTTATATAGTTTTAGTAGTTTAGTTTAATGTTTGGTTAAGATTCTTAGCCATCGCCATTAGTTACCGCTTTCTCACCGGGTAGGCTTCTTTAAAAAAATTTATAACATTTTCCAAGCTTTTGGCTATTGTTATAGAAAAACAGTGCCGTATATGAAATTAGTAATGTAAAACCAACTTGTGTATTATAACTATAATAAAAGTCTAATTTGGATAAGTGTTATGTGTTATCGAAACAACTAGAATATTGTTTATTATGAATTTTATCTCGAGAATTAAATTTCAGCGCGAATTAGTTCCATATTCTCTCAATTATCTATTTACATTAAAGTTAGCCCTTTTTTGTTACCTTTTTTGTACTTCGTACTTCATTAATCTCTTACCCGAATAGGTAAAAAAGAAAAATAGCGTAATAACTACATCTTAAAACCCAATTGTTCCTCAACTTTTGAAGGAATTGATTAATTTTTCATATCATTCGATTCCTTTTGGTGGGACGAATCGAATGGTACTAAAATTGTTCAATTCTAATCAGTGGATCACAAGAAATTGTCAAAAAATATAAGTGTACCACAATACCCCCTGTACCATAATACCCGTACCTCCTTTATATATCAAACATATTAAAAAAAATAACTACATTTAAGATTTTTCTTTATTATTAAAATTTAGGGTTAGGGGGTGTAAATTTAACAAAGCTTAGGGTTAAATATTAATTAAAACCCCAATTTTAGTTAGCATAAGGTTTTTGGGAATTCTGAACATTTTTACTTAGTACCCGAGATGTGTTAGCTAGTACGTTTTTGAGATATAGCACCCCGGTGAAAAATATATATATATAAATAAATAAAAAAAAGAACGCGAAGAACGTCAAGAAGCAGTTCGATCTATTCTAAAATAAAATTACATCGTATATATTGTAAAACAAAATAATACTTGACTGATAAGTATAAAGATTTGATTGGCTAATCGGCATTCCACATGCGACATTCGTGTACATAGCGATAGATTGATCTTTTTTTTTTCATAAGCACCATGCAAAGATTTCAAATTCTATTTAGAGCGTTTGTTCGTTATTTTCCACGTAATTTCGTTTCAGCTACTTTGCATTCTCAAGGTGCGATAACACTAAACAAACCATTTTTATTCTCAAAAATTTCTCGCAGACAACCGGAAACGCGTCCTGTAGGAATTGGTTATATTTCAACCGAAATTTTTCTTACTTCACTAGGCTGTCGTTGTCAGTATAGTACAAACGCTAATGAGCAAAATACACAATCAAAAAATATTCCTACTGTCGATTGGAAAACTTTATCATTTTACTCATTTCATGCATTTCCCAATTCATTTTTACACAAAACACGTGAATTACTTTTACTCAAATTTGGCGAAATGGGTATAGTTGGTAGGATATATATCGCAACCGAAGGTATCAATGCACAATTGTCATGTCCAGTAGAGCAATTGGATGAATTAAGAAAATTTTGCGATCAAGAATTGAAGCTGGAGAATTTGGAATTTAACTTTTCAACAATTCACGTAAAAGCTTTCCGAAAATTAAATGTTAAAATCAGAAATCAGGTTTGTGTCGCATTATACTTATTTTTTTATTTTTATTTTTTTTTGTTGGATCGTATAGAAACAATTGACAATAATTTTTAGATAGTTTCTGATGGTTTAGAAAAAGGGTCTTACGATTTGTCTAATCAACCGAAACATCTCTCTCCTGAAGAATGGCATACAGCATTGTCTAATGCTAAAACTCCAATCATTCTAATTGATATGAGAAATCACTATGAAAGGTAGGATACATAAATATAGTGTCATTATACCTAATATTTTAATAAACAATGTCTCTTTTATAGCGAAATTGGATATTTTGAAAATTCAATTCGTCAAGACGTGGATACTTTTCGCGACAGTATAATTTCTATGAATAAAATACTTGAAGGAAAGCAGAATGAAGATATTTATATGTATTGTACTGGTAAATATTATATGATCAAGAATTCCATGAATTTCGCGCCAAATATAGGCGAAACACAGCTAAATAAACCGAAATTAAATGTCTGATACTTAGGAGGCATTCGGTGTTCAAAGGCTGGAGCAATACTTCTTTCGAATGGGTTCAAATCTGTATATGTTCTAAAGGGTGGAATCACGGCATATGGCCGTTACATTACTTTAAATCCATCAGTTACTTCATTATACAAAGGTCGTAACTTTACGTTTGATAAGCGTCTTGGAGAACCGATTACTAACGATATAGTTTCACAATGTCACACCTGCGGTGAACCATGTGATACTCATACGAATTGTAGAAATAAAACTTGCAATTTATTGTTTATACAATGTCAAGAATGTAGAAAGAGATTAAGCAGAACGTGTGGCAGTGAATTCTGTTTACGTCTAGTTAAAGCTTGGGATGAGAAATTTGGTAGACCTTCTGGATTTGATGATGTAAAACCTGGTTATCAATGCGTTTATGATCATGTTCATCGAACACGTCCAAAATTAGTGATTGAAAGATTAGGTGGGGCGTCTGCGAATGTACCATCGGATTTAGTTGAAATGCTCTTAGAAAAAAATTCAAACATTAAAAACTAGAATACATCACATAATAAATATAGATTCTATTTATTCAACATGTAGTTAGTAATCCGTTAGTTAAAATTAAATGCATACAAACTGATAAACGTAAATAGGATTTAAAAAATTTTTGTTTTATTTTTTATTTTTTTATTTTTTTATTTTTTAAAAAAATAAAGGTACAAGTATATAACAAAGGTTTTTTCTTTTTTACTTTCAAGTTCCCGATTTTTGTTATACGTAAATAGATAAACTAAGATAATCTTATTGATTTGTATAAATCCTCGTTTCCGTGATCAATTGGAAACAAGAAACATTTTGAACTAAGCAAAGGAAACTGATACAATGTCCTATTGTAAAAAAAAAATCCATGCAAACAAAAGTAATATGTTAAAAGGTTTGCTAGATTATAATTGCCAGATCAAAATAAAATCATCCTAAAAAAAAAAAAAAAAGAGCCAAGGAACTTTAATAACTATTATGAAAGAAATTTCAAGAAATGAATTTTTATAGTCACTAAGAATAAATTGGTGAATAATGAAACAAGAGGAGTCGGAAATGATGATAAATTGGAATTGATTTGAAAATATTTATTATCTACACGGCTCCAATTAGAATATGTACGGTGTTGTTAATTAGAATTGTAGGCCCAATTAACAAACAAGAAAAGAATGACAAATCAAAAGAATACAAAAAAAAAAAAAAAAAAAAAAGATGGGGTAGGGGTGAATACAATATTGTAACAAAAAAAAAAAAAGGAAATATTACAAGTTGTTTTTTTTTTTAAATGTAATAGGAACTTTTTTAGCTATACGATTTTTGCGGAAGGATTTACGAACGAGAATTGACAAAATTACTAAAGGAGAGTATGTGTTAAGAAGTTTGGTAATGAATTTTAGTGAATCAAATGACTGCCAACAGTAAATACAGTTAATGTGGCATTAACTTGTGTTGAGAATTATGTTCATCGAAGGAAAGACGATAATCATCTGAGCTAAATTCGTCTTCAAAAACGCGATAAGTTTTCAGTATATTCGGATCAGTTTTCAAAGTGTTCGTGTTGTCTTCAAAATCCTCATTCTCTTCAGCTATAGATGGTGTTGAGTTACTTGACATGCTGCTTGACGTGCTGCTTTGACTCGATCGCCCAGAAATGCGAGCTAAATAAACACTTTTTGATGATTCTAATTCATCAAACTCTATTTTTTCGTCAGTTGGTGCAAATGATACTTTACTTGTTCTTTTAGATGATCGCTTTGATTTTTCGACTTTCCTTTTATCTTCAGAGTTATTGTTAAAATTATCACTCGAATATGTTGAACTTTGAGAAGAGATTGAGCGATTACTGAACTTATCAAATGATCCACTTTCTTCAGAAGTACGATCAGAACCACTCGCATAATTTCTCTTTTGGATCATGTATGATGTATTAGAATCATATTTATATTCTTCTTCTTCAGAGATACCCCTCTGCCTTGAGATACCAGATATACCGTTTCTTCCAGGATAATATTGACCTGGGCTGTTTCTATTTGTGGTATCGATATAATCACCATGAATTATGTATTCATCATGTGAATCTGAATCACGAACTTCATCGCTCTTTCGATGATAATCATTTCGTACATGTAAAGACAATTTTCTTCCATTTTGAACATCAGTAACTGAGCTATTAAATCCGACCCATTGAAGGGAATTGACTGATTTAACGCTTGAACCACGATTTATATCAAAGATATTGTCTGTTAATGCATATGAATCAAGGGTACTGGATAATACTGATCGACGTAAGCTATATGATGGATTTTGTGACGAATAACGGGAATTACTATGATTATTAACGGGTCTGTGATGTGTTTGATGGGTAATATTTTCTACATCAACAACACTCAGTGTCACCGAAGAAGTTCGTCTATGGGATCGCTTCATGCGCTGTGGTTCCGTTATGTGAGTAATCGGAAAAGGTGATGGATCGGTCTTTTTAAGAGCGTCCGAAGACATTGACATACTTGTTGAAACCACAGAAGCATTGGAATTGTGCCGCTCCAATGATATTGAATCATTTTCATATTTTGATCTCGGTCGTATGAACGAAGGCATAGGTAGAGATGGTTTTCGTATTGATTTCACTGATCCGGGACTTTTATTATGTATTTTTTCAGAATTGGAGAGAAGATCGGGCTCACTTCCAAGTTGACCTCCAGGGCGAAAATAGGGATCATTACAAGTTTCGCATTTATCCTGAAGATCCTTTTTTAACTTTCGACGACGTATTATGAAAAAGCCTAGCAAACATAACATTAAACCAATAATACAAGCAATCCCAACAATAATACTCCACATCAAAGTATTAGGTCCTCCATTAGACTGATTAAACTGCGAAGTAGAATTTGCATTTTTCAAACTTTGAGAGTCAACCCACATATTAACTTTAGTGTCAAAGAAATATAAATTCCCATCAGTTATGGTCGTATTAGAATAACCACCCCAAATTGTCATTAAACCTGACTTTACAAATGCAATATGAGCACCCCGGGGTGATGGTATTAAAGATCGATCAACTTTTGCACTAACAGACACGGAAGACCAAGATAAATCAGGAGCATTCGATGCATCTAAGACATAAAGGTCATTATATCCATTAAAATCTTTATCAAACCCACCAAAAACATAAATCATTTTGTCATTGTTGTCAGCAGAAACCATTGATGAACAGGAACGAGGTGCTGGTATCGTTCCAGAAATCTTGGATGATACGTACATATTACTTGAAGTATCAAAAACATTACAATCATTTTTAAGGTTAAGGCTCGAGTCAAAGCCAAAACAAGATATTAGATATTTGCCAACCACCAATGTTGAATGTCCAGCGATTGGAGATGTACTATTAATAGTATTCCAACTATAAGATGTAAGGTCTAAATACATAAAATCACCAAGAATATTACTCTCACTTATACCGCCTAACACATAGACTTTTTTACCAACCACGGTAGCGGTATGAGCGTACCGGGCTGAAGCCGTGCCACTGATATTAAGAGTACTTACAACACCTGTTTGTATGTCAACTTGCCGAACGGGATCTGCAAACTTTAAAGGCGTTACACTTTCTGTACCGAACAATAGCAGAAATTTTGAATCACTTATTGGAACAGCTTCATGACCAGTCACGGATAATTTTGGATTCTGTTCGTTAACGGCCAACGTTGAATAATCCATAACAAGCATACTTGTTATGTCAGAGCCTACGACGCCTACGGAGCTATGGCCACCTATTATGTAGGCTTTTGAACCAATGACAATGGCCTTATGGTGATATCTAGCTTTGAACTCATTTATATCACCAAAATTTTGCAGAGCTCTTTTGAAACTTTCCGTTGACCTGGAAGGTTGGGAGGAATAATGAAAGAATTTAAGAATTCCCAACCTTCCTTCCGCATTGGGGATATTAGGGATAGTAAGTTCAGCGGCAGGTCGGTCCTCCGATATACAGTCAGGATGCTCGCTGAACCAGAACATTGCGGGAAGGAAAGGTATGGTGTATTCACCGTTGAGGATAGAATTGGAGCATAGTATGGCCACGAAATTATCGTGGTAGAAAGTTTAAAACTATTCATAATGAAATTGGACGATACTTGTACTCAAAAATTCGCCATACTAATTATGCAGTAGTAATACATGAACATATAAGAAATAATGCCTCGATGAGATTGGTACACGAATTTGAATCTTACCAAAAAGGTAGTTCAAACACGTTGAAAAAATTAATTTAATAAGTTAATCATAATTTTCGAAACTCCCGAAAGAAGTTATGAAAAGTTGCATAATGAGTCATCAACAAACAAATATCACTATATATTGGGTGATACTAATTATATCTATTATTATTATTATGGCTCAAAAATTGGTAATAAATTTATTAACGAACCTATCAGAAAATGATTCATTGAATTTAAAGAGCACACATATTGTTTTTTTTGATCAACGTTGGGGGAAACCGACACTTATGATAAAACCAAGAATTTGGAAATCAACCGCCAAACTCGTGATCCTGGTACAATATGACGATAATTTTTTTTTTTTTTTTGTATCACTATATTAAGTGCTTAATAATTTGTACAAGAGAATAATTTATTTTAAAATTATACAGAATAGAAACTCGTAGTTCCTTTAATTCATATTAAATTTCTCCGGGTTTATAATGTGTAGGATTAATTGGTAAGAATGCGGCAGCGACATTTCGACCCTCTTCGGCCAAAACATTGAATGTTGACACCGCGTTGTCCTAACCAAAAAGAAGTTATTTTAGTCAAACACTTTCGCTGATGATATATAGTCAACTTTCTCTAATGAAGCTTGCTTTAGAATTTTCTTAATAGCCCACTAGATTTGACCATACAAGTTAATTCCTTGGTTTTCATAATATGAAACTTTTAAAAGTCTTTTTTTTATCCGGTTTTTAATTTCAATATTGATTATGAAAACCAATCAATTAATTTTACATAGCATTATGGAAAGTCAACTATATATTGTTACATTACCACCAGCGTACCGTATCTGAGTATTCTATTTGTAATCCTAATTTATGGATGTAATCTCGTATTTCTGAGGGAATCGGAACAGACATTTTTCCTGTTCCAAAGATCAAAAGTTCTAAAATTCATATGATCATTAATAATATCTAATGGTCGAACCATTCATTTTGAAATAATAGGTCAAATAAATTGTTACCAGGTTTTGGTGTAATAATTTCAAAAATTTTCAGAAAATCTTTATTCCATCCATCAAACACATTATCTATCCTATTTTTTTCTTGCCTAAAACTACCTTGAGGAACATTCCACAAAAATAGAGATCCATTGATTAAGATCACAGGCCCTCTTACTCTTAAATCGGTTGAAGTTATAAACCCGTATTTTGTCACTTTACGAATCATGGTCCATGAACGTATTAAAGAATCATCAAATATATTATGAAAGGGTGATTTTGGTTCTGTTGGAATGTGTACTATAGTTGTTAGACGAAACTATTTTACGAGACGACGAAATACGAAACCTAACCTCCTGAAAGACGAAACTGTGAATGACAAAACCCCCTGCTGAAGACGAAACTTCTGCGAAGGACGAAACTCTTTGATGAAAAGACGAACATTAATAAAAAAAAACGAGATTATAAAAAAAAAAACAAAAATAAAA